ATGAAATCTTTGCGAAATCTTCATAAATCTCGATGAAATCTTTGTGAAATCTTCAGAAATCTCGACGAAATCCTTGAGAAATATTTATAAATCTTGATGAAATCCTTGGGAGATCTTCAGAAATCTCGATGAAATGCTGGGGAAATCTTTAGAAGTCTCGATGAAATCCTTGAGAAATCTTTAGAAATCTTGAGGAAAATTGGATGAAATTGTCAGAAATCTCTAGTAAATCTTTGGAAATTTTGAGAATGCTAGAATGAAATCTGTTTGAAATGTTGATTGAATCCTTGTGCAATCGAAACAGATTCAGCCAACTTCTGATGAAATCCGACTGTATTCTGTCGGAGCCTTACGTTATCAGGCGTTTCTCTGTGAAAGGATCCTGGTGTTACGGCATTATCTGACAAACAGTTCCGACAGGATACGATCGGATCCTTTCCGACGTAATCCGGTCCGGAATCCGTTAGTTAGGAATCCTGTGAAATACGGTTGGGTTCCGATCGGATTTAGTTGGGAACCCGACGAATTCCGGTGTGATCCGACATCGGATCCGATAGTTTCCGGTAGGATCTACACGTCGGATTGAATCACCTGGGTTTATTCGAGAGAAAATCTTTGCACACGATTATTATAATGATCGACAACGTAGAGATTGCCATAACAATCAAACGACAATCCTCCGAGTTCATTCAATTGATTAGCTTCGCCTCCTCGACCATTTCCACCCACAATAACAATGCCCTCTTTTGCTCCTTGACGGTAACACATCACTCGATGGTTCATCGAATCTGCCACGTAGAGAGTACCCCAGTCATCGACAAACAGTCCTCGAGGATTTGACAATTGCCTCAGACCATTGCCTTCGCCTTGAACTCCAGCGACAACAATTCCTTCTTTTGCATCTTTATTCCATTTCATCACACGATGATTCTCCTTATCTGACACGTAGACATTCTGTTGCCGATCGACAAAGAGATAGGTTGGAAAGTTGAGTTGATTGAATCCCGCTCCTTTACCATTACCACCTGCTACAAGAGTTCCACTTTTGTCTCCTATTTGATACCGCCTTACTTCATGTTTTTTGTAGTCAGAGATATAGAGGTATCTCTGATCATCCATAGCTAATCCTCGACAAGTGATGTTGTCAATGAGGATTTCACCTTGACTTGTTCCACTCTGAAGAGGCAATCGTACGACTCGTCGATTCCCTTGATCACAAATAATGAGACTGTCAGTTTCTTTGTCGATTAATACATCCGTTGGCCATTTCAACTGATCCGATGGATTTTCTTTACTACTGCCACCAGCAACTAATTGTCCATGCTTATTACCCACCTTCCATTCAATAATACGATGATTTCCGAAGTCAGCAATGACCATCGTTTGATCATTATTAACGAAGAGACCTTCAGGCAACTGGAGTTGATTGGTATTATCGCCCCATTCATGGTTCCCAGCAACTGTAACTCCATTTTGTGCCCATCGATGATTACCTGTAATTTTAGGCAGCATTAAAATCATAAGACGAAAAGAATCACATATTCATATTTATCGTCTTCGAAAAAGGGGGGAGGTAGTGTCATTTGAGAACCGTGACAGCGAAGAAGGAAAGTATTTTCTTTCTTTCTTTTCTCATCTAAATGATAAAAGATGCTTTCTTTCCTTAGTTCGTCCTCTACAATTTTAATACGAGCGGGTAGAACACGCTGCGAACAAAAAAACTCTCAATCCTTATAAATCCCTCTCTTTTTCTGGAGCATATTGAGGATAAAATGCTACAGCTGAAGCATTTATCTTTCTTGGCTTCGTGTACATGGAAAGAGAGTATCAATTGTATGTTTCGACAATGCGAAAGATTCTTCTTAGTGCAACGTTTATGAGAAAATGACAACATTGCTTGTGGTCATTGGTTTTGGTCATGTGCGCGGGTGTGGAATGCGAATGTTGGTGATATGGATGTGAGTATATATCTAGATAACGTTTATATACTGCTATGCCCTACTTGACCACCATGTTCGAAAGCAATCCTTTTACTTAGGGAAGAAACCGCTTATTTGAGGATCGAATTCTATAATTGGTGCACATCGATCGAGGTAAGCAGATGTATCAGAGAATATATATATGAAATCCCACTGAAAAACGAATTTCAACGTAAAATGTTACAGCAATTGCTGAGAAGAGATAAAATAATTTGGGCTCTCACTTTCTAAATAACCATTGGAGCGTTTAACTGTAACTTTTCTGACTTGGAAACTATGTTATAGCGTTTGAAATGCTCTAAAGTGAGGATCTAGATTGTAGAAATCAGGAGTATGTGCTCATCATGTTTTATCTTATCAAGGATTTTTGAAGCATCTATCCTGTCGGAAATCTGTAGTTCAATTTTGGTGTAAATGCCTTTGTGTATGGGATCTTCTCTTGATGGTTGTGCACAAAGAGCAACCCCCTTTCTGTCTGTGTATTGAATATGATTATTTTGCGTTGCCAAAATGTAATTCATGCAGTAAACATATTGAAAATCTGATAAAGAGAACCATATGGATTCTGGTTGTAAGTTTAAAACATGTAACAGTGTGTCTGGGCATGCTTGAATCACAAGATTCTTGGCTCTGTATGTGACGGTAGAAAACTATGTGACAAGGCACGTTTTCATGAAGCATACATCCGATTTTGAAACGAAATCATTAGGGTCTGTAAACTTGACAAAAGAGCGCAGTGAAAACTTGAATACTTAAAACGACAAGAGATGCTCCTGCAGTTAATAGCAAGTGTGAGATAGAACCTGTGAAATCGATTTTTTAATTGGCGCATTTTACAGTGTTCAAGGTAACGTACCTAATTTCAATTCGGATGATGATTTTGAGAGTTCCGCCTTTGGTTTGGAAACATCCGGAATGGATTTGACCTGGTATGAATTTGGTACATCTGAAACAAAACAAATAACAACATCTTTATTTGTAGAGTGCGGGTGTATGAATATGTTAAGATAAGCCTCATATCTACCCACAACCTCTTTTACCTATCTCTATGTATCCCGTTAGAATTCATGAAAATGTCCTTTTGTTTTTAAAAAGTTTAAGCTGTTGAGGGTGTACATATGGACGTGCCTAATATCTTCTACTAATTCATAGTCACACTGAGTTACTCATTTAATATCAGCGTACCAAAGCATGAGTACTTTTTTACTGCAACGAAATTGTTCATGTTGAAAACTTGAAGAATAATGTCAGAACGAATTTTCATACTAAATTTTGAACGTACACCGTTATATCAGAACACCCTAAAATGAATGGATCCATGATGCTAGGCCAAACCCTAGAAAATATGTCGTGAAGCTCGTTGCTCATAAAGAACACATCGTGATTTAAAAAGAGAACATTATGCGATGTCAACTCGGCAGAAGAGCACTTTAGAACTTTAACTGATAAAAAGCAAATGAGGGATACTCTTTTCACATCGTGGCAAATGTATGATGGAAGCGATTGAAGTATTCTTTTAGCTGATGGCATGAACACTGTTAACTGTGGCATACCTGATTTCGTTGGTGGTTTCAGTTTTACTTGAGATAATGATTTCAGGGGCTCCGATTTTGGCTTGGGAACAATCTGGAAGAGTTTGGATTCCTGTGATTTTGCTGTATCTAAAATAGAACAAACAACAACATTTTGATCGACGGAGTGTGCGTATGGAAATGTATTAAGATCAGTTTTTCCCACCTCCCACACTTTCGGGAAAAAGAATACTACACTTCTCAGATACTATAATGATACGTGATGGAAAATGTTATTAGCGTAAAATCATGTCTGTGCTGTTATATTTTCATATTCTACTGTCAGCAAGTGAAATGGTCATTCCTTCGTTTGCAGCATTCTCATTTTCCCTCTGTTACATTTATCAAAAGAGAGCAAGAGTAGGAGTAGATTACCTTCAATTTGAATACATTGTTCAATCATTTGAATTATCTGAGAAGTGTTTGATCGATCTTGCGGATTTTGTGCCCAACATTTCTTGATGACCACACAAAAGCTCGATGGTGTATTTTCAGGTATCGTCAAACGGTTACCAGCAAGAATGAATGTACGAATAACGTCCTCTGCATGACCTTCATAAGGTTTATTGCGTGCAGCTAGTTCCCAGTAAATTATTCCCAAGCTGTAAATATCACTCTTTTCCGTATGCCGTTCCAAACGTAGAATTTCAGGTGCACTCCATGGCAATGTAATTACCCGTGTAGGCTTGCAATTGGATTGGTGTGTTGTCTCATCCCGTGTTCGAGCTACACCAAAGTCACATACTTTCACAACATATCCCTCGTAAGCTCTTTCTAGCAAGAAGTTCAATGATTTTATATCTCGATGTATGATGGGCTCTTCTAACTGATGCAAGTAGTTGATTCCTTTAGCCGCTTGCAAGGCAATTGATAATCGCTCAGCCCATGTTAACACAAGCTTATCTTCATGCAACATCTTATATAATGATCCAAGAGACATGTACTCCATTACGAGTGCATACTTTCCTTGTTCCATACATGCACCATAGAAATTGACGATGTATGGAGAACGCAGATTGTGCAATAATGAAAGCTCCCTTAAGAATTCTCTTGTGGCTTTATCAGTTAATTTGGTAATATGTAATTTTTTGACAGCAACGGTGTGACTTGTGCTCAACCACGTTGCTCTATACACTGTTCCAAAGGCTCCATCACCAATATTCTCATGAAGCCTAAGATCGCCATCAGATATTTGTAGAAAATCACGAGCTTTGTCTAAATTTCAAAGCTTATTTTATTATATGTTTTGGCAATGTTATTAACTTTGTTGGTAATCAAAAACTATGTTTATGGTAAAACTATTGTGAAATTAGCTTCAATATCGTAAACGAATAATAGAACATTTTTTCCAATATTAAAAAGTTGTCACTCGCTTGCTCTTTTATGCAAGCTAGTTGTATCGTCCACTCTTCAAAAATCCCTTAGCAATATTTTGCTCTCAAATGTGGATACTACTTTGAAATGCGTTTAAAAAAAATTGACTAAGTAGCAGTCCTGTAGTGCACTCAAGTTGTTGACATTAATTCAGTCGATCGCATCCCCTAGTGAACACATGTACAAGTGCTTCCGCGAGATTACAGCAGTAATGATTCCAGAATCTTAAAACTCGAGCAAATATTTTGCAAAGGATTACTTTAGTTCGTGCTCTACTTCTGTTTCCACATTGAAACTGTAATTACTTAGGGTATACCAAAAGTTCTGATCACAGTTTTTAAAATTTAATAAAGCAATAAATATTGAATATTTTACTAAGGCAATATATAGTATAACGTCTCGTCTTTAATAATATATAGAGCAACTCTCTCTTAGACTTAGTTCTAACATCCTTTCAGACTAAATCTATAGTATTTATAGCCAAGAAAAGATCATGCCAACATAAAACCACAATACAGAAACGAAGAGACATTCGTTATTTTATTTTATTAAATGCTCAAAATAATCACCATTATTTTCGATACAAAGTTTCATTCTTTCTAACAGTTTATCGAAAGTCTTTTTAAACTCGTTTATTGGAATATTCTTCACTATGGTGGAAACCTCTTGAGCTAATGATTCTTCGTTTGTGTGATCCGTCAACTTGTTCTTGATATAATCATTTAGCCAAAAGTCACACGGTGCGAGATCTGGTGAATATGGTGGATGTGGAATGATTTCGATTCCTTCCTCCATTAAATAATCAATAACATCTGGATGAGTATGAGGAGGACCATTATCATGAAGCATTTTATATGTAGTACGTGATGACTTTTCCTTTTTTCTTATTTCATTGATAACAGGTATAAGACAATTATCAATATAGTAGTCATGATCGATTGTCTTGCCCTTATCTACTTTGTGTATGAGAAGAGAACCAGTGGATTTGAAGAAGAAGCAAAATAGTGTTCTAGGTTCAAATCTATTCCGACGAACAATGGTTCTTGGTGGTTCATTTTCGCCAACCCAAGTAGCATTGCTTGACTTTCGACCAATCTGCCTGTGATAAATCCATGTCTCATCACCAGTAATAACATCACATAAATGCCATGTTCCATTTCTAAATTTCTCTAAATTTTGACGACAAATTCTAAGTCGTTTTTGTTTTTGTTCGTCAGTAAGTTGATGAGCAACCCAACGTGATGTAACTTTTCTCATCTTTAGACGATCATGAATAATTCGTTCTATTGTATCACGTGATAGATCAGTCTCACCCATAATATCATCATAAGTTGAGTGTGGATCATCTTCGATAACTTGTCGAACGCGTTCAACATTTTCATCTGTAAGTACCGAAATCGGACGACCAGATCGAGGATCATCAGTGACATCGTCTCTTCCTTCACGAAAACGTTTCGCCCATCTTCTGACTGTTGGATATGATGGAGCATCAGGTCCCAATGCCTCTGTAAGTTGGTCAAAGATTGTTTTTGAATCTATTCCCAAAATAGCTCGAATTTTGATATAATATCGATTGAATTCATCAGTC